ACAAAATAATAGACATATGAGCTTATATCATTCTTGTTTTGTTCAAATGTACTAACAGAAAGGATTCTATGAAGTAATCACCATTCTAAATCTTTACAGCATTTAGTGTTAAAGAGCTGTGACAAAAGTATTCATAAGTTCAGCTTGTTACAATCAACACTGCTATTAAATACTCTTAATAATGTTGATGCTAATTTCTTTCTAAACGTTGTATTATTACGTAATTGTTTATTGATTTAATGGTGTGAAAGATAACACGAGATACTTCTTTTTATGTAAGTAAGCAAATATAGAATGAGTGTACTTTTCTAATGGATTTCTAAGTGCTTATTCTAAAATAACATTATTGATTAACTAATTGATTGATGCATTAATTGATTATCAGTAGTTCACACATTTCAATCATTCGAAATGATGTGCGTTTTTTATTGAAATGTGTAATGAAAACAAAAATAATATGTAGATTATGGATGTTATTGTGAAGGATATCAAAGGAAGAATCGGAAAAGCAAGACAAGCTTTCACTACTCTCAAGTCTGTGTGGAGGTCAACAGCACTCAGCATCAAAAATAAGATCCGGATTTTCAACTCCAATGTGAAGTCAGTGCTACTATACGGATCAGAGACTTGCACTGCGCGTCATAAAGAGCATCTCAAACAAACTACAGACCTTCATTAACAGTTGTCTTCGCTCAATACTCAAGATCAGACGGATGGCCAGAAAAGATCAGCAACAGAGGTCTCTGGCAATGAGCGAACCAACCAGGAACCGATTGTGAAACAAATAGGCAGGAAGAAATGGAGATGGATTGGATTGGCCATACTCTGAGGAAACCATCAAGTGACATCACTAGACAAGCCATTGCTCGAGTGGAACCCGAAAGGGAAGCGGCGAGTTGGTCGTCAGTGCAAGGGTGACTTGGAGGAGGTCATGTGAAGAGGAGATGAAAGTGTGTGGGCAGACTTGGAGCCAGGTGAAGACTCTAGCAGAGAACAGAACGCAATGGAGACGCACGGCTGAAGCCCTATGTTCCTCTAGGAATTAAAGGAAACAATAATAATAATAACTGTGAAGGAATTTAGATACATTTCAGTAAAGATTTCTTCAGGAACTGAACAACTGTTTCGTTGTAGTTTCGGGATCTTCAGCACCGCACACCCTACAGCCACACCATAGATCTAATCCGGGATCTTTAGTTTACGAAGCTTAGCTCATTGACGATCCAGCCACTTAAGCACGAATTGAAATTAATGCAAATCCCTACTAAAAACCCATTATCGAAATATCAATCTCCAGTTCCTTGATAGCTACTGGATGAAGGTCCTGAAGTGGGTGAAGTGGGCATTTATCGAAGGTATTGGTTGACGATAGCACTATATCACGAATTAACAGAAATTAGAAATCATGGGTCACTGAAATCCAACCTCAAGAGGTTGAATAGTCAATTAGATTGATCTCATATTTATTGACAGGGTTAGGACACATGTAACTCATGCCAAGCCATCGCCTCCCTCATCGAAACATCTTAGCTGACAAAGGATGAGGTCGGAAAAGAGTTAGAGGTGGTCAAACCAAAATGTAGCTTAAATCCATGAAGTTTTCGACTGTTGATTTGAACCAGCCACGTAGGGTAGTGTAGATTGCCGGGTTGGGGTCCTTGAGACACTGAGGGTCAATGACTTAAGACTCAGTCAGTCATATAAAATGGTCTACTTCGTTTGGTTAAGTTAGACAACATTAATCGTCATGTTAACGTGGAATCTTGTTACTTTAACAGTAAAAATATAGTTACTAGTTTGAATTTCTTAGAGCTTTAGATCGATAATCTATAGAAACCAAAAATTTAAATAATTCTACCGCCAAGGTGTTACTGTCAACCTCACACATCATCCTAATTTGCAATAAAAGTACAGGTTGTGCCTTTTTTATCGGATACTTATACTTCATAACAGAATGGAATAGGTTTAATAGTGTGAAATATTCCCATATCATGAATTAAAAGTCAATCTGGACATCGCATCGACGTCAACACAGCTTTCAGGATTATATACCGAATTCCGAAGTCGTTATCACCTACAGTTCGCTTACGTCTCCTACACATAACTGAAGCTGCTGCAATCAGATCGACTAAACCGGAAGTTTGTATCCAAAATGAACACGTCCAGATGCTGTTCCTACCGTGGCCGAAATGGGATTAATGATTCTTCTTCTCACCAAAAGTGCCTTTTCTCCTTAGCTCTCATGGTTTTTCTTTGCTTATTATTACAATTGCTATTATTATTCGTCTTAATTTATGCCCTTCATGCAACCATTCTCTCAATACTATCGAATTTTCCATTTATACTATCCGGACTTATTATTAGTGATATTATCTCTTTTCTCAATATATGCCTCCTCCTGTTTCATTTCACACATTCGTTATTTCATGATGAGCCTCTCATTCCAGTCTTACTATCTCCTGTTTAATACATAGCACTTTGTACTAGCCACTCACCTGACACATTTTATAACATTGAACTGACTTGTCAGTTTTTCATACCCCATATTCGATGAATCTATGATGACTAATCGCCACCATTGTCTCCTATTTCACAATATTTTGTAGTCGATTTCAGCCTAGCACGTTTGTTACACAAATACTGTTTATTCTGACTCCTCATAACTAATCTGTTATTTTACGTAAAAAAATGTATCCACCGCATAACTGGCCCTTATTGTAACTACAACAACCGTCATGGTTTTGCTCTTGTGATTTATTGCATGGCAAGAACCGTCGACCAAGCATTACTTGGCAGCCCCGTGAGGGGCTAATTTGGGCCCCAGTGGCTAGATGGTATACGAGCTTGCCTTGTAACCGGAAGGTCCTAGGTTCGAACCCCAGCGGGTGCGTACTGTCGATGATTCCCAAACTAGGAGGGGGAAACAGCTATCCAGTACTCCTTGTTTTCAATGGTTCTCTAACTGATATCAATCCGTGATCAACTCGTAAAAACAAATCTAATCCTTACAAACCAACTATAGAAAACAAAATAGTAATCTTATTGCTTTATTTTCACTAATTAAAAAGCACACAATATTTCGTAATGCAATATCTTCTTGCCTATTTCTCTCCTAAAATCGAATTAAACAGTGTTCTACTATTGTCACACTGACTCCCCGTTTGTGTGTGCGTGTGTGTGCGCGCGTTTGGTACCGTAATCCTTAAGTTTCTAAAATGTCAAATTTGAACATCACAATCCTTAGATGGTCATGATAATGATGAATTATTAGTGCCTATACTTAACTGCAACTTCTATTTGGCGGCTATTTAAATCTGTATGAAAGGAAGAGAGGAGGTGGGAATTTTTTTTTTGGTGTTAGGAATGTTAATTAAGTTAAAGAGGTAGGTAGGGTGGAGGAGAGGGATTGTTTATCGTTCTTTCTACCTTTAATCGTTGACATTTCATCATGAGATATGGTGACATCTAATTGAATTAAAAAGTAGTCAGGCGTATTCATCACAAGTTAGATGTATAATTTTAATATATCCTTTTTTCATCATGAGCTGACATCGGTTAGCGAATCATTGGAAAACCTGGGAGTACTGGACAGTCAGCTGTTTCGTCCCCTAGTTTGGGACTCTTCATCAGTACGCATCCACCGGGATTCGAACACAGGACCTTCTGGTTACAAGGCGAGCTAGCTCGTAGACCATTAAGCCACTGGGACCCGATCCAATGGCCCATCACCAGTAGGGTGCAGCAGGTCGGGTGTGAGGACAAATACTCGCCACTCATGAGATTGGCTAGTGGTCGCGCTATGTCGTGAATTGGCAGAAGTTAGAATTCATGGGCCATTGGATCGGGTCCCAGTGGCTTAATGGTCTACGAGCTAGCTCGTCTTGTAACCAGGAGGTCCTGGGTTCGAATCCCGGTGGATGCGTGCTGATGAAGAGTCCCAAACTAGGGGACGAAACAGCCGTCCAGTACTCCCAGGCTTTCCAATGGTTCTCTAACTAATGTCAGCTCATGATGAAAATCCTGTAACCAATCAAATCCCTACAAACCAACACTTTGATATCCTTTTTTGTCTTTAAATCTTTGTTGGCGTTTGTAATTCGGGGACGAGGGGAGATTTATGTTGCTTAATGTATTTTCTAAGTGGAACGAACATAGAGCTTCAAGTATGAGCTTTGCATTTTCAGTAGAGATGATCTTATATTTATGGGAGGAAGCTGTTTGACTTAAAAGCCCAATGTTTCATCTTTTCTGGGCTTACAACTGGCAAAGCAAGGTTTAGGAGTGTGTCGGCCGCGACTCGAACTCAATAATGTTTTAAGAGATTCCTTTTATGAACTATTGGACTATTATTGTCATAATTTCAATTATGTCTAGCTTTCCTGCACACTTTTTTGTAGGGTTCCAATGTTGTTTCTACTGATATGCACATCTAGAAAGCGGGTTTCGTTATTTTCTTCTTCCTTTACAAACTAAATTCTTCTTAATGCTTTACCAATGACTTAGTGGATGGGGACTAGCAGTCAGTGGAATCTAGTCATGCGCATTTCGTCCTATTTGAGACTCGTCATCTGGATGCACCTTCATTCCTTAGTGAGTTATAGTGTTCTCACTGGGGCCCAAACCCAGTACCGATAGTTTCAAAGGTCAAAGCGTTATCCACCAGACCACTTGGACCACGAGAGCCACCTCTTCGTGTGCAACGGGTTTTATTAATTATTTAATTCAATTTAGAATTTTCCCGTCGATTGATTGGACCGAAGTGCTTTGGCGTTTGAAGCTATGGACACTGGGCTCGAGTCTCGGTGGAAACACCAACACTCATTGACTGAAGAATGCAGGCACATACAACTGATGAGTTCCAAACAGGCTGAAATGCGCATCACTAGACTCCATCCACCGCTAGTCACCACTCACCAAGTGACTTCAAAAGTATATATTATATTTTTAAAACTTCATTGTAATTTTTTTTATAAATTCCTACGTTTTTTTTTACAATTTAGGTCGTTCTGGACCAACAATCATGAAAGATGGTATTAACGGCAGAAAATTACATCTTGAGGTGACTGTTGATCCAGTATACAAAGCAGATGAATTATGCGTACGTATGGATTCAAATTGTATTGTTATAACAGGATGTCAAAAGAAAACTGAAGGTTCGTCAACTTCAACAGCTGAATTTACACAATCCTATGAAATTCCTGAAACAGTAGATCCATTCTCAGTTACTGCTCAATTGATTGGAACAACTCTGGTTGTTGAAGCTCCACTATTGTGCACAGTTTAAATTAAAGGAGAAGAATGTGAATGTGTCAAATCAATCACTCTCCTGCTAAACGCGCTAATAATAATACATCACATCATATATGAGATTAATGCAAGTCCACAGGTTGTTTTCTTTGCTGTTCCTTGTTTCTTCGTGAACATCATTCAACTCTCATTATATATATTTGTTTGTGTGTGTGTACACCAATGCAGTATACATGCATATGTGTAATTTTGTTTTGTTTCCTTATCGATCGATCGATCTGTAGTGCTCTAACTGTTGTTATCCAATCGAAGCATAAAGCCCCAATTTCTCTTTTGGCTAATATATTCACTCCCTCACACACACACACACACAGTTACTTGTTTTCCCCTTGTTTTCAGTTGGGTTGTTCATTTGTTCAAGTGCTTTTCGTTTTCCTAATGGAATGATGCATGCTGCATCTGCCGAACTTCTCTCTTTCTCTGTCAGTATTCCTTTTTCTCCTTATCTTTTCGTTTTCTTAAGGAATGAAGACAAAAGTATTTTCTAATGAGATGGATAGATGATAGATAGATAGATAGATGGTGAGTAGTGTAATGCGTGACTTGTTTCTATCTGCGTCGAAGACACACGTGAGCACTCACTCACTCACACACACACACTTACAGACTTCGGTTTGAATAATCCATTCATTCTACTGTGAAAACAAAACATGCATGCGTGCCTGCGATCCCCTCTTTTTGGTCGTTTCAGTCTTCTAAGTTTTATTATCGTTATTACTTACCATTATTATTATTATCATTATTCTCCTGGTTATTGTCATTATTATCTCACTTGAATTCTGTACACACCTAGCTACTGATTGCTTGTCAATCACAATGTTTTGGGTTGGGAGTTATTTGACGAGAATGACTGCTGCTGCTGCTACTCCATTGATCGATCGCCTTTTAATTTTCATTCAGCAGTGCTTTATCTCATTAATAAAAGTTTAAAGGATGAAGTTTTTGTATTTGTTTGTTTGTTTATTATTTACTAGTTATTTATTGATGGTGGGTAACAGTGAAAAGTTTAGGACTTGTATTTCGTCCTTTTTGGGGCTAGTCAGTAAGCGAGTGAGTGAGTGATGGGCATCCTTGACTGTCTTCTTCTCGGAATTATTATTGTATTATTATTGTTCCCTTGGGTTCCCAGTGGAACATACGGCTTCAACTGCACGCCTCCACTTGCTTCTGTCTTCTGCTGTACTTTTCACTTGCATCCATGTTAATCCATACTGATTCAGCTCCTCTTCACACGATCTCCTCCATGTCACCCTGGGACGTCCCACTCGCCGCTTCCCTTTCGGGTTCCACTCGAGCACTGGCCTGACGCGCGATGTCACCTAACGGCCTCCTCAGCGAGTGTCCAATCCATCTCCACTTTCTCCTGCATATTTGTTGGGCGATTGGTTCTTGTTTTGTTTGTTCCCATAGTTTCTTATTGGTGATTCTTTCCGGCCATCTGATCTTGAGTATAGAGCCAGCGAAGACAGTTGTTGATAAAGGTCTGCAACAGGCTGTTGAAAATATTCTTGGTGACTCGCCAATTTTCTGATCCGTAAAGCAAAATTGACTTCACGTTTGTATTGAAAATCCGAATTTTGTTGTTGATGCTGAGTGACGAAGATTTCCAGATTGGTTTTAAGTTGATGAATGTGTTTCTCGCACTCCCGATTCTCGCGCGATTTGACATCCTCGTCCGTTCCTTCTGTAGTTGAGACAATGCTCTCCAGATAAGTGAATGAAGTAACCTCTTTCAAATCCCTCCCGTTGATGGTGATTGGCGCCGGATGTTGCTGCTGTTGTTGTTGTTGGTTGGTTGGTTATTTTCATAACCTCCGTCTTGTCTATGTTCACCTGGAGTCCTGTTTGTCGGTTTTCGCTTGTAAGTCTTCGATTTTGTGTGACATCAAACATAAATCATCTGCGAAATCCAGGTCTTCTAGGTTCTTCACGTCGGTCCAGGATATCCCTGTCTTCTCGTTTCCCACTGTCTGACGCATAATCCAGTCCACTACAATTAGGAATATCATTGGTGATAATAAGCACCCTTGTCTGACTCCTGTGTTTACTCCAAACGCTTCGCTGAGTTTTCCGTTGTGGATCACTTGACATGTGCCGTTGTCGTACAGTTGTTGAATAAGGTTGATGAATATTTGGGGTAGGCTGTAGTACTCGAGTAGTTTCCAAATTACTTCGCGTCTTCTCGGAATGCCCGGAAGAAAAAGAAAATTAGTGCTGCTTGACTATAGAGCCTATTGGTCAACTGTTTGAGGCCAGTCACACATGACCTGTTTCAAATGGTTATTGAAGTTCTATCCGTATTAAGATCTTACCTTTACTGACTATAAACCACCAAAAGTTATGTCAAGATGTACAATTTTCAGGATTGGCCTTTTCTAACCCTTCTCCGTTTCCATGCCATCATAGCTGGTATGGCAGTCGTCTGTGCGAAATACCTTACTGCAGTCGTATCTCCACTTACCACTAGTACGACTTAGCGGTTAGGACTCTCACCGGCCATACACATGGTCCGGGGTGCGATCCCCTGCCGACGCACACCTGATATCAATGGTCGGCCTGCAGAATTTGGGCTATCGATATCGCATGCATAGAATTCCATACTTGTACCAAAAGTATGGTGTGGAATCAAGCTATAATCGTAAACTCCCTATATATAAAAAATAAATACGACTGCTACCGAAACTTCAAAGTTCTAGCCTGAAGCCCTATATTCCACTGGGAACGTAAAGGAATAAATAAATAATATATAAATGATAACTGTTCATCCGTTAGCGACTGGTTGCTATTTCTAGACATCCTGTACAATCACATCAGCAAGTTAAGCAAATGAATTATTTTATGGTACGCTTCATCTTTTTGTTGTTGTTGTTGCTAATTTAATGATTACGCATTCGACAGGAAGGAAGTTATGTGATTGCAGATCTTATGTCCTCAGGATATTTGAACTACAATCCTTTAGTATTTGGATTAGCTAATATAGTAGAAAAATTAGTAGGTACTACTATTATCGTAGCCATGATCATGCTAACGTTGAACACAAGTTATAAAAAAATATAAATAATACAAAAGTAAAACCCTTGAGTCAGATCCCAGTGGCCATTTCATGAATTCCGACTTCTGCGAATTCACGACATGGCGCGACCAATTCTCAATGTCTTCTTCGGTGAGTAACTGTCCTTATCTTCGATCTGCTGTACCTTACTGGTCATGGCTGCCCACCAGAACTCCAGGTTAACTACTTGAATAGGGTCAGTCGCCAGTGATCATCAGATCAAACCCCGAAGAGTGTGCACTACTGAGGAGTCCCAAACTAGGACGAAACGGCTGTCCAGTACTCCCTGCAGGTTTTTCAATGGTTCTCTAACTGATGTCAGTTCATAATGAAACCCTCCAACCAATCAAACAAAAACCCTACGAAACCAATATATAAAATTCACAGATTGTTTCAAAAGAGAACTGTGTTAGATTTCCATGACGAACTGAAAATTTACAAATTGAGAATCTCGTTAACTGAAAAATTTATTTATTTATTTATTTAAACGCATTAGAACTTGGTACAATATGGCACCAAGAAGGATGCGCCACACAATAATAATAAAACAACATAGATGAAAAAAAAGGAAGGAAGGCAGGAAAAGAAAAAATATATATATAAGTAGAGAACGAATAAAGAACTTCATCTGGAAGGAAAACACTCATTCTTAACAGGTTCAAACAGTGTTCGTTAACTATCATCGGGAATGGAAGAAAGAAGGAAATCGCAACACATTCGCCATTGATTACGATTCTTGGCCATATCCGATAACGTTTCGAGCCATCGATTTGAGCTATCTCTCAGACCCCAACCAGGGAGTCGTGACACACCAACCGATGCTAATCTAGCACAGAAATCCTTCATCCCACGACGCCACGTCATGGGCTGACCACCTCTCCGCCTTTTCCATCCCGTCCCAGGGCTAGCGAACAGAGACCTGTACGGAAGCCTCTGGGGTGACATTCGCAGCACATGTCCAAGCCACCGGAGCCGGTGTTTCCAGATGACGACATTCAATGAATGGTGATCTCCACTGTGTTCAAACACACGCCGCCGAACCTCAGAATTACTCACGCGATGATGCCATCGAACGCAAGCAATCCTGCGGAGACAGCGGTGATCGAACACGCAGAGTCGCCTCACATCCTCAGCTCGGAGAGGCCAGGTTTCACAGGCGTAGAGCAGCGCAGCCCGCACCGAAGCATTGTATACCCGACCTTTGACAGCCAGGCTAACGTCGCGACGGCGCCAGAGGTGGCTCAAGTTGATGTATGCCACCCTAGCTTTCATTATACGGTTGGAAATCTCATCCGTCACCCCTCCGCCAGCACTCACACAACTACCTAGGTACACAAACTTATCGACAACTTCAAGCGGTTCACCCGCAAGAGTGAGTGCAGGTACAGGCTCCTGCCAATCTTGTAACAGTACTTTGCACTTAGATGGTGCAAAGCACATACCATACTTACAGACACTGATCGCCAACTGATTAAGTGCGATTTGGGCAGCCTGCATGCCATCGCACAGTAAGACGATATCGTCTGCATACTCGAGGTCGAAAAGTCTATCTCCAGGTAGCAGATCTACACCACCTTCACGCACATCCTTCAGAGCTGACTCCAGAATGTCGTCGATGGCAAAGTTAAAGAGAAATGGCGAGATTGGGCAACCCTGTCTAACCCCACTGTTGGTTGGGAACAGTGGTGATAGTTGGTTGTATGCCCTCACTCTACCTGAGGTGTTTCTGTATAGGGCTTTCAAGATGTTAACAAATTTCTCAGGTACACCTCTCTCTAACAGACAGTTCCAGAGCACAGTTCTGTCCAACGAATCGAAGGCAGCCCTAATATCAAGAAACACAACGATCGTTGGCCTGCAATACGTGTGGCGGTGTTCCAACAACTGACGAAGGGTGAACACATGATCAATGCATCCACGACCTGAACGAAACCCAGCCTGCTCTTCGCGAATCAATCCTTCACGTATTTTGCACAGTCTGCGAAGCATGACAGCAGCCAATATTTTAGACGCAACTGGTAACAGACTGATACCCCTATGGTTGTCACACGAATTACGTCGACCCTTTTTAAAGATGGGGACGATAATGGCTTCGTTCCACATTGATGGTACGCTCTCTGTCTCCCACACCCTCCTGAACAACCCAGTTAGAGCCATTATGAGAGTCTCGCCACCCTCTTTAAAAAGAGCCGGGGGTAATTTGTCTGGGCCGGGCGCCTTATGGCGTTTCAGAACTTGGAGTTCCTTACGGACCTCCGCTTCGGTGGGTGGGTCGGTACTAACCGACCAAGGAGCACTCGGGCTAGTGATAGTAGACAATGAAGCTGGTGGCCAGCTGAACTGCTTCCCGAAGTGCTCTGCCCAGCGTTCCAGGCGTCTCTTCAGGCTGGTAATTGGAGTGCCATCTGCCTCACAGACCGTCTCGCTGACACCTTGTTTCTTGCTGCCGGTGGCTCGTATGAGTTGGAACAGCTTCCGACTGTTGCCAGATGCAGCAGCTGACTCCATCTCATACGCACGTTCTGACCACCAGGCTTCGCGGTCCTTACGTAAACACTGTCTAATCTTGCGCGTGAGCGCCTTTCGCTGATTGTTGTATTCACTGCCAGCCGGAATGGACCGGCGTTCATCCATGAGTTGCAAGGAACTCGCAGAAACCCAGTGGTTGTTAGCGGAGCATTCTTTCAAGCCGCAAGCGGCTACACTCGCCTTTTGCATGGCACCTTGCACATGAAGCCAGTGTTCATCTATACTACTTGGGGGGTTGCTGGCAAGCATTGTTTTCAACTCATTCTGATATTTCAAAGAAGTAGCAGGTGCTACTAGTTTGCTCACATCAACGCTTAGACGACGGTTTTTACGAACCCCACCAAATCGCAAGACGAACTTGGCACACACTAACGCATGATCGGAGTCCAG